TGATTAGTTATAATTTATTATTAAATTTACTTAGTATAGATGGTATAATTTCGTTAAAACGTATTGTTGGTATATTCGCTATACATAATATAAATAAAATGTCTTGTAGCGTATTGGCAACTATATAGGTATACACGAGTATCACATTTGTGTATATTATACCTATAAAATCGTACGTGCCAGYAAATCGTTTTGTGTTTTTTCGCTACCCGAAATCCAATATATATTTTTAAGAGCTCGCACRACKGATGTTTTACGCAAAAATTGAATTTATATGTTCTCCGTCGCATATTTTATGAACATTGATTGAACATTTTAACGTGTTTTCTTGGCTCGTAGGGCGTCCCATTTAAATTTATAAACTTACCTAAATGAACATGTAACACTTTTGGGTTCTTTTTATTTATTTACAAGCAACGTACAAAGGTGAAACTACCACGTAAGTACTACAACRTTATTCAGTACCTATTGTCGTATTTACACGTTTTACGTCTGAAGCTAAATGTTTTTGAATTTCAAACGTAGGTTATTTACAATGAAATATATTCATTTTGAAGTTTTTAAACAAGCAACTACCACAGTACAGTAGAACATCGATTAACCGTCACTGTCGGGACCGGGGCTATGGCGGTTAATCGAATAGACGGTTAACGGAAATTTTTAAATGCACGTGGTTTTTTAGATTTTCCAATCACCAGCAAAGGTAGCCTATGATTGCCGGTTACATTTGCACAAACCATTACAGTGATCCGATCTTTTTGGAAGTTAAAACCTGGAGCTGTTTTTTCCGAAAATGATGTGAGTGTTTTTTGTGGTAAGGCTTTCCAATTGAGTCCAGTTTCATCACAATTATAAACTTGTTCTCTAACGAGTTTAAGATCAYATTGTATTTTCAATTTAAATTGTTCCTTGAATTCAGCAATGATTGCACTATTCGCACTAAGTTTCTCTCCTCTTATGTCTAGTTGACGAATTCCGTGACGAAATTTAAACTTATCAAGCCATCCCGTGCTTGCTTATTGAAGATTGGATCGCCATCTAGTTTTTTATTAATTTCACCTGCCTTGGTCGTAATAATAGGATCAGAAAGTGGAATTCCTTGACTTCGGGCTTGAATAAACCACTGATACATAACGTTGTCAAGTTGTTCATATTTTGCCGATTTCATGGTTTTACGACTTCTGACATCTCCATCGTTGCTTTGCATTTGCGACACATGATGCTCAATTTTTTCAACATCCMGTTTTATATCATTCACTGTTGTTCTCCCCACACCATAAATCTGAGCAATATTTGTAACAGTTTCACCTTTCTTCAAACGTTTATTAATTTCAAGTTTTTGATTGAATCCTAATACAACACGTTTCCTCTTTTCTGCCATTTTCG